GCTAATTCCTAGACAAGACTCAACTCTGAGAGCCCCTCCTCCAGGAAGCCCTCCAGGCTAGGTCAGGCCCATCTCTGTTCCCACAGCCCCAGTACTACCTCTGTCAAAGCTCATCACACAATGCTGGTTACCACGCTGTCCCCAGCACAGGCTGCCCACCACCCTGGGAGCCCCAACCAGGCAGGGCCAGCTCTGCTTCCTGTAAGCCCGTGCCCAGCACAGCGTCAGCGCTCACATTCTGGGGCTGTCGCTGAGGGGATGAAGGCAGCTGTGCTGGGCAAGGGGCGGGATGGTGAGTTGGAGAGAACAGAGTTTCAGTGGCCTCAGGTAGACCTTTGAGGACCCTCCCTGGCGCCAGCCGGAGGCCCAGGCTGAGTGTCTGTTCTCTGCAGTGTCTGACGGGCACACCTACAGCCGGTCCAGCCACAGGATGCGCTACGCCTGCAGCCCTGCCGAGGACTGGCCCCCACCCTTGGACCTCAGCTCTGATGGGGACGTGGATGCCACCGTGCTCCGAGAGCTGTACCCAGATTCTCCACCAGGGTAAGGAGGCCGCGGGGGGGGAGGAGGGCAGGAGAGGGCGGGGCTCTGGGCAAGAATCCCGGCGCCCCTGGGACATAACAACACCTCCCCCAAATGGCGTCAATGCAGAAAACATCTGCTCGGTGGGCGTGGCCGTCTCCTCACCCTCCTGACCAAGCAGGTCCCAGTGAGACAGGGTGTGACTCAGCAGATGTCACCCATGAGACGCTCAAAAGAGAAAAGCTCAGGTCCTTCAGGCTCGGGTGAAATGGTGGGCTGGAGGGTCCAGCCCCAGCTCCTTAGTATTCACCCCTAAAGCCCAAACCACAACGATAGGGGTCATTGTCTCCAGACAGCCCTCACGACCACCAGGGGGCCCTGGCCCATCGGGAAATTCTCCTCTGAAGGGCCTTTGGGTCCTCCTGCGAGCCACCCTCAGATCACCCACCAGTTAGTACTTGAAAAAAGAAGAGGGGTCAGGGCCTCCATCACTTCCCTCCCGGGAGACTCCTCGGGCCCCACAAACAGCCACATCCTCCCCATCTCCCTTTACCGGTTACCCCCGCCCCCAGGGGCACCGGGAGGGGCAGGGCATCCGCCCTCTCCTGGGCCAGTGGATGCTTTTTTGTCCTGCAGCTGCGGGTTCAGAAGGGCCCCAGGGACGCCTTCCTAGACCTGGAAGGGCTGCTTTGAAGTGACTTGAGACCAAGGGGTGTCTGGCAGCCTGAGGTTGCTCCCACCAGCACCCCACCCTCAGTTCCCAGCCTGGGACATGCTCCGTCAGCAGTGGCTCCTGTTGTGCCAAGCAATCTGAGACCCAGGGTTCACGAGGACTTGCTCACTCAAGTCCACATGGAACATTGGGGCTGAGTCAGGACCAGAATCCAGGTCTCAGGGGTTCTGGGGTACCCCTCCCTGGGGAGTAGAAGGGTTTCACTGGAGCCAGCATGACAAAGGCCTGGTCTGGTCCACTCCAGGGCAGCTTGTCACTGCAGATAGGCCCCTGGCCCTGGGGGAGAGACCCCCACACCTGCCCCTAAGGTGAGGTTCCACAGAGCCCTGAGGGCGCCTCTTCTCTTATAGCTACGAGGAGTGTGTGGGGCCAGGGGCCACTCAGCTGTACATCCCCACGGACGCACCGCCGCCCTACACACTGACTGACTCCTGCCCTGCGCTGGACAGCGCCCTTGATGCAGGCAGCGGCCACAGCCCTGGCCGACACCAGCAGGCGCAAAGGACGGGGGGCCAGAGTGGCCTCCACACCATCTCCATGGACACCCTGCCCCCTTACGAGGCTGTGTGTGCGACCAACACCCCATTGGGCCTGCTCTCCTTGCCAGGACCAGAACCAGGGCCAGGCAGCTCCCAGGGCTCACTCACCCCAACTTGGTCCCCAGCCTCTGGCCCTGAGAGGATTGTGTGAATGACTGGCCAGGTCCAGTGCTAAATCACATCCTTCAGACACACAAGGGCACACACACACAGATATGCACACACAACTCGTGCACACACAGCACTCCCACACGCACACATATACACAACTGACACACACACAGACATACACACTGACATACCCATGCGCGCACACACATCCAGACATGCCCCACACGCGTGCAGATATGTGCAGACACACAGGCCCCACACACCCACACAAACCCACCTGTGAAGGTTCCATTAAAAATGAAGCTCTCTCGACCTCCCGTTTCTCCCCTAGCCTGTCGTTTCTGCCTCTGCAGACAACGCTGGGAGAAGAGAGGTGGAGAAGGACCGGGGCTTTCTCCTTCCTCTCCCGGGGCCTCTTTGCCCCTGCCCTTGCCTGGCAGGCTGTGCCCAAACTCTGATTCTGCCTCCAGAAACTGCTCGACTATCCCAGGTCAGCTGCCTGCCCTGACCCCACCCCAGGGCCAGCTTGTCCTCCTGGTTGTGGACAGGCCTCAGCAAGGTTCAGCTGCGTGCTGCACCTGTCTCTCAATTCCAGGGCAGAAGAGCCACAGTGTCACCACCCTGCCACTTACGTGGGGGCTCAGGCACAACCTGGAGGCCCTCACAGCCTGCCTTGCCCCACCCCCCACTCCAGTGCCCTCAGTCTGGTGGTGCTAGCGGAGTTATCTGAGAAGCCCCAACTCCAAGCCACAGGCGATGAACCTGGCCCTTGGTGGGGGTGCGGTGGTGGTGGTGGGTTATAGCTGTCCCCATGTAAGTCCAATCACTGCCCAGGACTGAGGGTCTTCATAGATGAGGGCTGTCTGGACATGGCTCTGAGGCAGACAAGTGGCCCCTTGCTAAGTATGTGCCCAGCTGAGCATTATGGCCTGAGCATGAATGGGCTGGAGCCAGACCCCATAAGCTGATGTTGTCCTCCTGGGGGGCGGCTCATAGTTTGGAATTGTGAGCCAACATGTTCTTGCCCTGCCTTCCGGGGTGTTTGCAGAGACGAAGTGTGTGAGCCCCATAAATATCACCATGGCTCAGCGAGAGGACCAGTGGTTATATCTGGGCCTCACCACCAGGGGCACTACAGCAGGGGATATGTGGGGTTGCCTGGTTGTAGAGAGGCTCAGATCTTGGCCCAGGAATCCCAGCAACTTCCGTCAGAGACCATGCAGTAACAGAGCTGATTCCTGAAGACCAGCCTGCCAGAGGGTGGCGGCAGAGCATCTTTGAGGAATGTCCCCACCAGCATCTCCAGCGGCAGAGAGTGGAATCCTCAAATCCTCCCTGCCCCCCTCCCTCTCCCCTTCTTAAATGACCACACCCCTACCCATCCTGGCCTCCACATTTCAATTCCTCCAATGAAGGGCTAAGATAATTCAATAATCCTTTTCTTAAGAAGAGGGGTGGCAAGGATGGCAATTCTGAATTTTATTTTCTGTAGAAATAGAATTTTTCTGGTGCAGAACTGAAAGGAATCCACCCAGAGGTTCTGTAGCATCCTGGAGCCCCTGACTCCACCCGGGGAGGCACCTTGTTTACAAGCAGTTCTGTCCACCTTTGTGGTGTACTGTTTTCTAGGCAAAAAAAATATCTGTCTGTTGTACTGTATAGCCTTTAAAATGCACTCCAGGGATGAGAGTCTTTTAAGAAACGCATCCTGCTTCTGCAACCCTGGAGAGTGCTGGGGAAAAAAAGAGAAAAATCCCTACATACTCATCAGTGTTTCAGGGATGGAGCTGAACAGCTTTTGTTGTTCCTAGATTAAGCGCTGAATAAGCAACAATGTATCTTTTCTGTGTTCAAAATAAATATATCAATAAAAAATACTGCAAAAAGGAACATTATCAAGGAGCTTGTTGGGGGGCTGCTGCCATCTGAAACTTGTAAGGAAAGGAAACAGTAAATAGCAGCAAACTGAAAATATGTTACTTCTCTCAGAATTAGCAGCCACTGAAGCCTCCTCATTTTCCTGTTGACTCAGATATTTGGGTAGTCAATGATTTACATGAGTGACTTTTTTTTTAACCTCACTGAAACATGGCATCATTTCTCCTAGACCTGGCCAGTGTAAAGGTCACCAAGACGGGCCATAAACAGGACTTGACTCCAGGAACACCAGGGACTGCACATTTTACTTCGACAGCAGTTGGCTTTCAGCATCCTGAAGGCTTTCACTACCAGGAAAGGGGAAATTTGTAAATTAGACTGAAATGAGTTGTTTTCTCCACCTTTGTGGAAATTCTCCTCTTCCTTCCTCTGCTTTCCATAAGACCTTTGCTTCTGTCGTTGATCTCTTGGCTGACAGAGGCTGGTTCCCTTCCTCTGTCACTCTTCTCTCCCACTAGAACTCAAGTGGGGTCCACTAGCATAGTCCCCAAGTGCCCTGAAAGTGGGGTGCTATCCTGAAGGAAGGTGCAGCCCCAGTCCCAGGTCCCAATGGTTCTGCGCCCACCAGCGCCACTCCGAGCCCACACTGCCACCTGCTGGCTGCCTGTTGGCACTGCTCAAAGCAAAGGAGACGGCCCCCGAAGAATGAGCAAATTCCCTTCTCCCACTTTCAGACCCACTGCCCACGGACACTCATAGTTGTAAACAGAACTTGTTTTGGTCCTGAGCTTGTCTTCTACCCTTTGGATGTTCCATGAGGTTTAACCCATTCAAGCATCCCATTTTCAGGAATCACTCCTGCCCCCAGCATCTCCCTCTAACCACAGCCTGATACCTAAGCCCTCCTCTCTATATAAACACCACTGTGCGTGGCTCAGGTGCCACCTCCGTGCTGTGGGGCCCTGCCTCCTGGGAACGAATGTAGCAGCCTTCATGGTGATGGTGTCCAGCCACATGCTGATCTCAACCTGAACCACCCCACGCCGACACTCGGTTCTGACAGCAAACACACTGGACATCCCACCGGCCCAGGGGACTGTGGGGCTCGGCGTTTCCTGCCTCCTCCATCCACAATACACCCTGTGTCCACTGTGACAGGCTGTGGCATGTCCACAGATGGTGCCACATTCACGGTCCTTCTGCACACTCCTGCCAGGAGACTGGCCTCTCTCTGCCGGGGGCCTGAGGGGTGGGGCTGAGGATAGCACCCCAGGCTTGGGGCTCATCAGAGCCCCAAGGAAATGGGAGGTGAAGCCGAATTCCCAAGATGGGGAACAGGAGCGGGGCAGGACCAGACCCTGGGACAGGAAGGGGGTGCGAGGGGGTGACCCCAGGAGCACCCCTAGGGAGTGGGCAGTGAAACGAGGAAGGGAAGGAACCCGAAGCTGGTTGCCACCATGGCCAGCTGAGCTCTGTCCCCCGAGAGATAGTGTGGAGCACGCCTCAAAGTTAGCCACCCGAGGGGAGGGAGATGGAGTCCTCAGACACCAGCTCTAGACTCTCAAGGGTCATCGTTTGAAGTGCTCTTCAGAGAATGTTAATCCCTGCCCCTTGTGCAGCCAAGCGGCATCTCTGGCCAGAGAGTCTTTAGATGGGGGAGTTGCAGCTGCCAGCAGATGATGCCATCATGCTGGTCAGCATGATCTGCCACTGGGCCCGCATGCCTGGGCACGGTGCCTTCCAAGGCCTCTGGATAGGGCACCGACAGCATCTGCCAGATGTGCGCCGCGGGAATCACCCGAGAGAGGGAGGAAGGCGGCTTGATACAAAGTGTGGCCGTCCACAGCCGCCCCCTGGGACAGCCCGCTGGCTCGCACCAGCCAAGCCCACTCACATGTACACGCACAGGGGTCTCTCACACCCAGTTCCTAGAGACACTATCGGACACACAGTCGTATGCAGCATCACTCGGCTCACACCACCTGTGGTTTTGTACCCATTTGCTCAGATAGCTTCAGTGAATACACACTAGTGCCCCTCACACTCAGAGGTCCCACATGCACACTCCAAGGCCACCCTTTCTCACACTCACGTATCACTATCGATGCCCACCTGATGACTGACCGGCAGTGGAAGGACGGGCAGCTTCCTGGTTTGAGAGAGTGGATCTTCTGTCCTGAGCTCTGCGCTGCTTGACCTCACATTGCACCTCGCCCAGCCCAGGTGATCTCTCTCGATCAGGACCAATCACCTGGGTCAGGCTGGTATTTCTGGGCTGGGGGGCTGGGCACACCTTTGCCCCCAGGGTTGCTGCCCAGCTGTGCCTCCTTCGGAAGAATCCCAGGGCTGCAGGCCTCAGGCCCTGTTGTCACAGCCTCAGCTAATCACAACTACCCATCCTCACCAGCCTGACTCCAGGGGCTGCCCATCCTTCTGCCCCACAGCTGGTGGCTGTCTGGTCCATGACCCACCACAAAGCTGGCACCCCCTGGATTATAGGGGGGAGAGGGGACAGCTCTTGAAAGGGGGACCTTCCACCCCCGACAGGCTCTGAGCCCCATCACCCACCGCCATTACTCAATTGCAAGAGACAGAAGCCCAACCTGAACCTTCTTAAGCAAAAAAGGATACTTATTGGCTCCCATAACTAAATTGTCCAAGTAACATATTCTAACTTCACACATGGCTGGATCCAGGGAGTCTGAGAATATGGGCAGGTGTGTTGCCTCTCTTGGCTCTGCTGCCCACCATGTTGCCTTCATTCTCCCACAGGAGCAGTGGCCATGGATGCCCCAAGTCCACGTTGGCTGGGTCATGATCCAAAACAACGAGACAGCCTCTCTCTCCCAGAGAGCAGATATCAAATCTCAGAGAAAACTGACTAGCCCAGACACGCACTCATGCCTGACCGTCTGTGAATGGCTGTGGTTGGGGTGGGGAGTCTCTGATTAGCCAAGCCTGGGTCGTGTGCCCACTCCCACAGGGGAGGAGGAGCCAAATCGGCCTTTTCTGGAATGGGTTTTCCAAAGCAAAGGGAAGTGGGTAGGCAGGACTGGGCGCACCCAGAACAGCCAACTCTGCCCTGTTTGCTTGACAGCGCCAGGCCCCACCCGCCAGCTCTCAGTCTGAGCGAGGACACCACGCCTGGGGTAGACAGTGACCACACAGAGAGCTAGGGTAGGGGCTGGGGCCAGGGAAGGTAGGGGCTGGCTGCTGACCAGGGCCCATACCAGAGGATGGAGGCCTCAGAACCAGTCTCCAGCAGGGCCTGAGGGTGCCAGACTCATGGGGCACAGTCTTCAATCTGTCCTGGCTCTTTCCCACGGTTGCCCTGTCAGGTGGGGGCTGGGGTCAGAGAGGCCCAGCTCTAGTGCCTGCTGGGAGAGGCCTCCCTCCGCAGGGAGCTGACCAAACTCCACACTGAGGGCACTCTAGGACTTGTGGACATATGAGACTCTCACCAGGAATACACCACCCATAGTTTGGTGGTTACATAGTTTTATTCCCCAAAAGGAACATAAATTTGGGCAAAAGGCCAAGGAATGGATCTGTGACATGAAGTCTGAGGCTCAAAGCCAGGCACCACCTCCTCCCCAAGGGCCGTCTAGCTGCCGAACTCCTGCATCCCCTCCTCCTCCCAGCCCTTCCCTTCCTGGGCTGATCCTGTGTGTCTGAGCCATCCCTGCCAGACTGGGGCCCCAGGTCAGGGCCAAGCTGGTTCCTCTCTGGGTGGTGGGCCCAGGGGCGGGTTATGGAGTGAAGAACTCGCAAGAACATTCAGTTCAATTCTGAGGGCAGCAGGTTCCTCCCTGTGTGTCACGGCCTTGAGGACAATCAGCACTGAGTTCCAGACCTGGGAGCCCCTGCCCAGGCAGCACCCCCATCCCTGCGCTCCCGTGGCCTCTGAGCTCCTGGGCTCAGCAGGGAACCTGGGAGTCTGGGCAGCAGGGACGGCTGTGTGTGAAGGCTTGTGCTGGGACCCAGACTCCTGGCTGTCCCTGCTTCTGTCATTGGCTCACCATGTGACTCTGAGCCAGACCCCTTCCTTCTCTGGGTCTCAGGGCCCCTCCCCCTGAGCAGATCTCCAGTGCCTCCTCTCCTTCCCCGCCCCCTGCATTGACCCCAAAGCTAGTCACCCTGGCAGGCAGAGAAAGCAGGTTCTCATTAAGCCAGTCATTCCCCTGAGGGCCCAGAAAGTGTGAATAATGGGACAGTTCAAGAGGCTGCAGTGGTCCAGTGGGGAGGACACTGGCCCTGGAGAAGCAGGCCTGACCCAGCGCGAGAGGGCAGGGAGGGAAATGGTTCCAGGCACCCTGCCAGCGTTTTCCCCTCAGGACCTTGGGCCTCCCTGCAGAGACAGGCGTGGAGGGCAGTGCACAGGCATGACCAGGTTCTCACGAGCTGAGGACTAGGATGTCCAGAATGGGTGAAGTGTTATATCTATAAGTAACCAAGCAAGAGAAGAATCACATAAGGGGGAGATTAAATTGTGTACCAATTGTAAAACTTTGGTTATTAATAGATAAAAAGATAAAGGCCCCTCCAGCCCTCTCCTCAGGGAGCACATCTGCCTGCAGCCAAGAAGAGAGACGGAGACAGAGACAGAGACAGAGAATTAAGACTCTTGTTTTAGACCCTCCCCTTCCTTGGCCTGTGACCCACCCCTTCAAAACAACTCAATGGCCTGGAACCTTGTCTATCCCCACGCCTAAATCTGCCACTCCCATTCGGGGCTCTTACAAATCTTTGGGACCATGGAAAAAGCAAGGCCTTGGGTATCAGATAGACTTGGTGTAGTAAGTGAATAATGCCCCACCACCCCCTGCAAGATATCCAGGTCCTAATCCCCAGAACCTGTGACTATGTCACCTTCCATGGCAAAGGGACTTTGCAACTGTGATTAAGTTAAGGACGTTGAGGTGAGACAATGATCCTGGATTGTCCAGGTGGGCCCAATGTAATCACAAGGGTCCTCATGAGAGGGAGGCCCTAGGGTCAAAGTAAGAGAAGATGTGACAAACAGAAGCAGAATGTAGAGAGAAATGAGAGATTTAAAGACGCTATGCTGGGCCGGCCCCGTGGCTTAGCGGTTAAGTGCGTGCACTCCGCTGCTGGCAGCCCGGGTTCGGATCCCGGTTGAGCACCAACGCACGGCTTCTCTGGCCATGCTGAGGCCGCGTCCCACATACAGCAACTAGAAGGATGTGCAACTATGACATACAACTATCTGCTGGGGCTTTGGGGAAAAAAAGGAGGAGGACTGTTAGCTCAGAGCTGGTCTTCCTCAGCAAAAAGAGGAGGATTAGCATGGATGTTAGCTCAGGGCTGATCTTCCTTGGAAAAAAAATAAATAAAGACGCTATGCTGCTGGCTTTGAAGATGGAGGAAAGGGCCACAAGCCAAGGAATGCAGGTGGCCTCCAGATGCTGGAAAAAACAAAGAAATAGGTTGTCTCCCAGAACTTCCGAAAGGAACCAGCCCAGTGAGACTGATTTTCAACTTCTGACCTCTAGAATTATAATAAATTTTTGTTGCTTAATCCACTAAATTTGTGGTAATTTGTGACAGCACAATAAGAAACTAATATACATGGGTTCCAGTGCCAGCTCTTGCCCTCTCTTCCCCAGTCTCCTCATCTGTAAAATGGAAGGAAGGGGAATTTGGCCGCATGATGGACAAGGGTGGCCTCTCTGGCTCTCTTTGGCCCCAGGCTGTGATGACACCAAATGGCTACCAGCACTGTCCCACATTGCCTGGCCCTGACCTATGTCTCCAACCCAGAAGGAGGCCGAGGGGGAAACCACAGAGTGGCCAGATGAACTACCTAACCTCTCTGAGGTTCAGGGTCAGAGGAGCTAATGTGTGTGAAAGGGTAGCACCCCCAATATTGGACTTAAAAGGACTAATCCAGAATGGCCTACAAAGGGAGAGTTGCTAGTCACCCAGGGATTCATTTGCAAGTAGCATTCCAATTGGGAAGTAACTTCCCAACCAGAGGGATAGGAACTGCGCTGACCACGGAGCTCAGGAAAGGCTGCAGGGGGCAGGGAGCAAAGAGACCAGGGGTGGCGAGCCCAGGGCTAAGGCAGCTCCGAGGCCAGGTACCAGGCAGAGCCCCCTCCTCCTGACTGGAGGGACAGGAGGCCGGCAGGGTCACATAGAAAGCAAATGATGATCAAGCCCCTGGTCTTCCTGGGCTGCGTTACTACTAGGTCACAGCCAGCTCCTGCAGCACCACTACCCCCTCAGCTGGGCTCTCCAGGCTGTCAGCCACCCGAGGGCAGGGACTTTACCTCATTTGCCTCTGAAGCCCCCAGGCTGGCGTGGAGAGACACGGACTGGCTGCTTAAGGCCAGCACTTCCCCAAACACCAGACCAGGGCATTAAAACGGTCCTAGAAACTGGAGAATACTGCACATGCTACCCCTCCTAGAAATTCACACCCCCAATAGCCTGCTACATGAGAAGTCCTGAAGCCAAGAAGCCAAGGGACCTCACGTAACCCAGGAGTTCCCAAATTATTTAGCTGCAGGAAATTTTTACTCACATAAGACTAAGAACCCCCAACAAGTGCACCTCTGTGGAGCACAGGGAGCAATGCTGACCCACATGGAAGGAGAGAGTGGCTGAATGAATGAGTGAATCATCACTTAATTAAGTATTGGGTGAAGGAACGGAAGGAAAGAAGCAAGGAGGGAAGGAAGGAAGGAAAGAAGGAAGGAAGGAAGGAGGGAGGGAGGGAAGGAGGAAGGAAGGAGGGAGGGAGGGAAGGAGGGAGGGAAGGAGGGAAGGAAGGAAGGAAAGAAGGAAGGAAGGAAGGAAAGAAGGAAGGAAAGAGGAAGGAAGGAAAGAAGGAAGGAAAGGGGAAGGAAGGAAAGAAGGAAGGAAGGAGGGAGGGAAGAAGAGAGGGAGGGAGGAGGGAAGGATAAATGGGAGAGTACAAAGGTGATTGTTTCCATCTCAGTTCCCCCAAAAGCAGTCCCTGCACAAGGATTTGGGTAGAAATCCTTTATTTGGGAGGCGATCCCAGGAAGCACAGGGAAGGAGTCGGGAATTAAGACAAGGGAGGGCGAAGAGGCAACAAAGGATGCATTAATGAGCAGGTTATTGCTGCGGGCAACCACGGGGTGATCCCACTGGGGACCCTCTAAAAGTGTAGAACACACCTCCGACTGGCCCACCAAAGGCAGGAAGCCAGGGTTTCCATCCACTGACCCTCGTTGTTGGTTGAGGGTTGCCCTGGGTGTTAACTCCCCAGCACTTGCAGCCTGCCCCGCCCCCCAGCAGAGCACGCTCCCGCGGCCAGAGAAGACTCTCAAGCAGGAGGGCGTAAGGAGCCTTAGCGGGTGACATCAGGAGTGCGCTGAGGGTTATGGGCGGGACTGGCAGCGTCTGCTGCAGAGGCGGGTGTGGGAAGGATGCAGGCACCAATATGTTCTTGGGACAAGGCGAGGACCAAGGCTGACCTCAGCTCTGTTGCACTGGGAGGAGACAGGCTGGGGAGTTGAGCACACCCCAGCCACGCTCAGAGCTCAGCCCTCCAGAGTGACAGGCAGTGGCAGGCCACACTGTGCACAACTTCCTCCTCAGCTTCCTGACTGAGGTTGGGGCGGGACAGAGGCAGGCCGGCCTGGACCGGCCTGGGGAGGCCCACAGGACTCTCTTCCGCATCCAGCCCCTCGGAGCCACCATGAGCCGGCCCCCATCCCCAGGCCCAGGTGAAGCTGCTCTGGAGACCCTCCTGGGTGACCTCATCAGCTACTACCGGGAGGGGGCAGGGGAAGGCCGGCTCAGGGTCTGCAGGCAAGCAGCCCTCACCCACAGGGCCCAGCGGCTCTTGGGCAGCGTGGCCCCTCCTCAGCTCTATCTGCCTGAAGATGTGGCCTCTGATCTGGGGGCCACTCACTCCCGGGGGGCGCCCAGCTCTGCCCAGCATGTCTGCCACAAACTGATGCAGGCACTAGAGATCCTGGAGCTAATCTCTGCCAACCTACTTCTGTTTCCCTGGAGGAAGGAAATCAGGTCCCTGAAGGTAGGCACGGCCATGGCCCTGAGCAAGGGGGTCTCGGGTAGGGGCGAGCTCTGCCTCTGGGGGCAACAGCATGTCCATCGTGCTCACTGACCTGGGTCCCATTTTACAGTTGGAGCAAGCAGGGGCAAAAGAAGTTAATGCAGCTTGTCTGTGGTCGCCAGCTAATAAGCAACACAGCCAGCATCACACTCAGGCAGTGCAGCTCGTCACCACCACGCAAGCCGCCGCTCTAGAGAGGAGCCCAGGAGCTCCGAATAAACGAGGGAAGGAGTTTGGCTGTGGGAAGCCACGGGAAAGTTTCCTCTCTCCTGGCTCAGGCTAGGAATGCTGGGTGGGGAGCCAGGATACCAGGGCCTCACCCCAGCTTAGTCATTCTCCAGCTGTGTGACTAGGTCCTGTCCTGCTTCTGGGCCTCAGTGTGCCCTTCTGTGAAACAGGACAGAGGGTCACATGACTGTGGGCCAGGTTTCCATGTGGCCAAACGCCGTGGCCCGCCTGCTTTGCAGGAGCCTCTGGTGCCCCTGGGACTCAGCCCTCGGCCCTGTCTGGCCCCTCTCAGCCACTCTGCTGAGACGTGTCCCACCTCTGACAAACACCCCTGTTTGTTCCAGACGTACACAGGGAACTTCGTCTACTGGGTGAGGCCTGTGCTTTCCGAACACACACTGCACAGCATTCTGGGCAGGCTAGGCTACGTGGCCACCTCGGAGGCTGAGTTTTCACTGGTCCAGGCCATCAGCGAGGAGGACACCAAGCAGATGGTTTTTGAGATCTTCCTGGCGAGAGTCGCGTGTGAGGCCATTCTGGGAACCTTGGACGGGCAGGTCCTCGGGCTGGGCAGAGAGAAACTGGCCAGGCCCCACTGCAGGCACAGCTCAGAGAGAAGGCTGGGGAAGGCCCAGAACTGCCTCGAGGGGGCCCGGCCAGGCCCAGGCCCCTCAGAAGAGGTGGGATCTGAGAGGGCCCAGCCACAGGGCCCTGACGACCAGACCTCTCTGCCTGTGGCCCTGAGCCTGCCTGAGGTCTCAACGACTCTCCATGGCCCCCTCACTGGCCCCCTGGTCCCCTTGGGCCCCCAACGCCGTGCCAGCACACGCTCGGACAGTGAGGAGTTCCTGACCTGCTACAGTGACCTTGTCCTGCACCGGACACCCTTGTTCCCCAAGGACCTTCCCCTGAGCGGCCTGAAGGGAAACCAACACCAAGGCCCAGCCCTGACCCCCAGCCCACCTTCAGGTGAGGCCGTCACCCCCTCAGGTAGCAGCGGCGAGCAGCCCCCAGTCCTCAATGCAGCTCCTGAGAGCAGAAGGGTCACCATCCCCAGCCTGCTCTGCCTGACACCAGGTCCCCAGTTGACAGGGAAGTCCTTGGACCCCGAGCCAGAAGCACAGCTGGAGCTGGCCACCCCTGGCACAGACACTGCTCCTCCAAGCGCCCCCTGTGAGATGGACGAGCTCTGTGAGCGCCTCTCCCACCTCCTCAGACCCCCAACTCTAGCAGGACAGCCTGGGGGCTTCCCAGGCCCTGGGATTGAGGAGAATGGACAATCAGAGCCTCTTGTGGGGCCAGAGCCAGCCGGTGAGGGTGGCAGCCCAGAGAGTGGGGTCACTGGGCTCTGGGGATCTACTCAGGCCCCCTCTCATGTCCGAGAGCCCCCCAGCACTCACTATGTCCCCCCGGAGGGGCTGGAGATGCCAGTTCCCACCCGAAGACGCTACCCAAGCAACAGCTGAGGATGTCACCCCTGGATGGTACAGGCGCAGACACCTTGACTATGCAGATTGCTTTTCTGCCAGGAAGGTGACCACTTGGAGAGGTGTTAGATCTTGGGACCACAGCAGGGGGAACAGCAGCCAAACACACAGCTTGTCAGGCACAGGGACAATCTGTGAATCCCAGCTGGTCTCAAGTCCCCTCCCTGCCACCTACTGACTCTGTGACTTTGGGCCACTCGCTCCACCTCTCTGAGCCTCGTTTTCTTCGTCTGTAAAGTGAGTGTGGTCAGACCTACCTCTCAGGAGGCTGGGAAGAGTCACTGAGGTGAAGTGTGCATAGGTTCCCTCAGTGCTGACCTCAGGGGGCTTTCTGTCCCCTTCACATCCCAGCTCAGTGTGTGACCTGGAGCGAGTCATCCTGCATCTCTGAGCGGCAGTTTCCCCCAGCATCCTTAAGGCCCCTGTCACAGGGCAGGTTAAAAGAGAGGAGAGAGAGGTAGACAACCAGACATGTAACATGCCCTTAATCCTTTTAGGGTCTACCGTAGGCCTCCCTTTTCTCTCAGCTAACTTCTGGTTGAACGAGAACAAAATCACACTTAGGAGCTCAGAGTCAGCTCGCACGCCTGCTCTCCATCCAGGGGTCAGGGCTGCAGGGGCCAAGCCTGAGCCTGGAGTGGGGGCGCCTCCTCCACCAGCCATCTCCTGCCCCCACATATGCGTGCACACTTGCACACAAGTGGGTGCATCAGGCACAGCACATGCACACACAGTAGGCGTGCCTCATTGGGGCCCCGACAAAGAGAGGGTCCTCCTCCTCCAGCCAAGACTCTCTCTATGGGGTGGCAGGTGGCACTGACTCAGGGCTGGCCCTTCAGCTTCCCATCTGTAGAACGGGGAGGATGGGCCCTTCCTCCCAGGGTGGTGGTGAGCAGTAAAGGTTATGTAGGGGAAGGCCCTCTCTGGGCATACAGCAGGTGCTTAATAAATGTTGGTGCCTGCCTTGCTCTCCCCCAGAGCTGAGCATATGACCCCATCACTTCCAGTTCCTAAAATCAAGGGGGACCCCAAGTGGGAAGGATTTAAGGAACGTTGGTCCCACCTCCCTCCCTGTCAGACAGCTGTCCACTAAGCCAGCCCCTACACAGGCTTTTTGAGACAAATCAGGAAGCAGTCTGCACTGGGGGGGAGAGAGGCACACTGGTCAGTCATCCATCCGTCCATCCATTCATCCATTTACCCACCCACCCATCCCAATCACTCAGCACAGCACCCAGCAGTCGACGCTCAAACTGGCGAGCTGTCAGTGTCTGGGGTCCTGGGGGAGGTAGAGGGCAGACTCTAGCCACAGCTTCCATCCTGGGGAAGGGGAACACCAGGAACAGGCTGAGCTGGAGGCAGAGGGGGTCAGGAGCCTCAGGAGAAGGGATGTGGCAGGAGGCAGGACTGACCTTGGAACCATGGCAACCAGGGCTTATCCCCCAGGGCACCTGGGTCTGACCCGCAGCCCCTGACCATTCTTTATTCCTTCTTCTCTGATCATTAACACAATAAGCATGCTCATCCCCAAACCAAAACAGAACTTTTGCTTCTCCCCACAAAGCCCACTCCCCTGGTGTTCCCCATCCAGGTCAATGACTCCACCAGCTACTCAAAACCTGAAACCCACTGTAGAAACCATCCTTGATTTTTCTCTCTTTCTCTAACATCCCTCATCCAACCCACCATTCTCTGTCAGAACAGAGCCCAAATGGCTGAGCCACTTGTCTGAGCTACCATGGAATCTCACTCAGATCCCTGGAGGACGGCAGCCACCTCCCTCGTCTCCCAGCTTCTGCCCTCATCCCCCTGCAGTCAGCTCCACTCAGCTGCCAGGATCCCATTAAAACCAAAGTTCCATTGTGACTCTCATGTGTTCAATTCCCTCCAGGGACTTCAAGGCCATACCAAGCCCCATAGGCTTGGCCCCTCACTATCCTTCTGACCTCATCTCATGCCCCTTTCCAGTCTAGCCCACTGCAGCCAAGCCACACTGGCTTCTTCTAGGTTCTCCAACAAGCTAAGCCCGCCCCTACCTCGCAGCCTCTGCGCAGACTGTTCCCTCTGCCCTCTCCCCACTCTGCACCCCTGGCCGCATCTTCTCTTTCTTGGTATTCACTTCTCACCTTAAATGTCACCTTCTTGGAGAGGCCTTCCCTGTCTGCTCATCTCTCCATCACATCAGCTTAGTTTAATTTCCTGCACAAAGATATTTTAAGTGTATTTATTCATTTTCCATTTCCCCCACTAGTATATAAGCTCCATGAGGGATAAACTTGTCTCATTCACCACTGTTTCCAAGGATCCATCAGATGAAACCATCAGAGAAATATGAAAACAAAAGCAGAAATTACCATAATTTCCACTCTTTGGAGATACCCAATGTTACAGTGTTGGTGTGATTCCTTTCCATCTTTTTTTCTACATATACATATTAAAAATTTGGGATTGTAATATTTATAGTGTTGTGTTCTGCTTGTATTTCCCATGAAGGGAGTTATTTTAACTAATTTTAGAGAAAAGTAACAAAACAGTACAAAGAAGTGCCTTCTATCCCCCACTTTGCGTCCCCTGAAATTAACATGGTACATAAACCTAGGATAGTCAAGAAGAGAAAATTAATATTAATATTATTAACTAAGCTACAAACCTTATTTAAATTCCACCAATTTTTCTATTAATATCTTTTCTCTTTTCCAGGATCCCATATGGCATTTGTCAATTTTCCTTTATCTCTTCCCATCTGTAATATTTCCTCAGTCTTTTCCTTGTCTTTCATGATCTTGATGTTTTTGATCAGAACTGAACACTAATGATTAGTTATTTTGTCGAACCTCAGCAAAAAAAACCTCTCAGTTTGGGTTTGTCTGGTGTTTTCTTATGGTTGGAATGAGGTCATGCATTTTTGGCAAGAATACCACCAAAAAAATGATGCTGTGTCCTCGGGGCATCTTATCAAAGGGTTCATGATGTCAATATGTCTAATTACTGGTGATATTTACCTTGATCACTTATTAAGCTGGTGTTGGCCACTGTAGAGTTACTTTCTTTCCCTTTGTACTTTATATTAGAGAAGATGCTTGGAGGCTATGCAAATTCTGTTTCTCCTCAAATTTTCATCCACTAATTTTAGTATTGTCCACTAATTTTACCATTTCTAGATTATTTACTAATTTACTAATACTAATTATTTACTAATTTAGTAATAGGTAAATATTGTCTGCAATATTTTTACTGTGGTGTTTGTATAATGGTAATTCTCTATTTCCCTCTCTCCTTTTACATTTATTAATTGGAATTCTATTGTAAGGAAGCACTCCCTTTCTCCTCTATTTACTTATTTATTCAATTGTTTATTTATATTAGTATGGATTCATGGGTATTTATTTTATTCTATGGGCTATAATCCAATACTATCTTATTTTGTTCCTCAAAGTGTTCCAGCTTTGGCCGTTAGGAACTCCTTCAGGTGGGCTCCTGCATCTTTTTAACACGCCCCCATCTTGTGTTGAGCATTTCTTTACTTTCTAGCACCATAAGATGTCCCAGGCTCATCTTGTAATTTCCCTGCTGCATCCCTGGAATCAACCACTCCTCCTAGGAGCCCTGGTTCCTTTTGTTGAAGAATGATGTTTAGAGACCACGATCTAGGGGCCAGGTGTGCTCACCGTTAGTAGATGTCCTTGCTTCTGAGCCCACACAGGAGACAGAGCCAGGAAACATACCTATGTGTACTAACCCTCGTGTATACACACATAGCTATATTTCTGTACCTATCTGTAATTTTAAAACCATGAGTTTATACTGATACCTCTGATTCTAACCCAGCACCACAGGGTTTATTCTACTCTTCCCTTTTCTTCTTTATAACTTCTTTCTCTAACAGTGAGAAACTTGGCTCTCATAATCTACAGTCTACTTACTTGTTTGTCCAATTCTAGAATATTGTTCGATTCCAGTATGCAAGAGTTTCAGAATTGCTAACTGTACCCCTGTGAGAAACACTTTTAAAACTACATTACAGCATTTATTGAGAGTAATTTTTGCCTTTACTCTTTCTGTGTCCAACCAAGATACTGTTTTCCACAGTTACTTAGTTCTTTTCTTTCCCACTCCCTTCATTTTTTTAATTATTGTTTTTGTGTGTGAGGAAGATCAGCCCTGAGCTAACATCCAATGCCGATCCTCCTCGTTTTTGCAGAGGAAGATTGGCCCTGAGCTGACATCTGTGCCCATCTTCCTCTACTTTTTATGGACACCAGCACAGCATGGCGTGACAAGGGGTGCCTCAGTGCGTGCCTGGGATCCGAACCCAAGAACCCCGGGCCGCCAAAGTGGAGCATGTGCACTTAACCACTTGTGCCACCTGGCTGGCCCTTTCCTACTCTCTTTACTCATTGAGATACCATGAGGTTCATCCGTAAGTGCTGGTATTCCAGTTTTTCTTCCCTCTACATCATAGTTGATCTTAATTGTTCTTTTCTTTAGGGGGTACTGTGAAACATTACTTGGTTCTGAGAGTCAGAGTTATACATAAAAAGATATTCACAGAAGTGTCATTCCCTTCTCATCCCTGCAACCCCATGTCCATTCCTCCTTTCTTTCCAGCCTTTTCCCACCAATCTATTTAGTTTCTGGGTTATCTTTCCTGTGTTTCTTTTGCATCTGTGTATTTTCTTATGTCTCTCCTTTCTTATATAAAGGGTAGCACACTACAGACGCTCATTTGGACATTGCTTTTTTTCACCTAACATGTGAAATCATGTCCTGGAAATCATATATCTGTTCAGAGAGATCTTTCTCAACCTTGTTTACTGCTGCATACTACTCCACCGTGTGGACGTACCATAGTTTATTTAACCACTCTCTTATGTATGGGTCTTTAGGTTGCTTCCAATCTTTTGCAATTACAAACAATGCTGCAATAAATAATATTGCGCATAGATCTTTTCATATTGTAGATAGTATATGTTAGATCCTGGAAGTGGGATTGCTGGATCATGATGTAAGTACATATGCAGTTTGTTAGGTGTTATCAAATTTCT